GTTCTTAAACGTTCTATTACAAACATAAATAAACACTTGATTTAATTATTTCAGAGACATATTCTTCATTAAACTAGTTCTATCATTTTGTTTTAAACTCACTGCTACAGCTGAGATAAGGCTAATTAATGTGACACAGTTTAACATATCCAGTGACTTTAAGGGTGCCTTTCACTTTCATATTGTTTATTCTTGATTTATTTTATTTTGATTGCATGTTTTTTGTTCTTTGTTATTTTGTGTTACAAATGAAATGAATAAATTTCTAAATAAAAATATTTTAAAACGTAACATGTCATTGTGCCAATAAATGACCATTAACTGCATGTTTAAAACTAATAATAATAACTTTACCCAATGAACAGGTGCAATATTGATAACCACCAACAGTGAATTTAGAGGGGCCTTTCACTTTTTATGATTTAGTGATACTGTGGGTCTACTCATAACCAAAAGGAACAGGGCATCAAGCAGCTTTCAGAACATRAAATGACACTGTGTTATTGTGACAAAAAAAATTAATAAAACAAAAAACTGGYTTGTGGTCGACAGTTTGCAGCATCTGCTGTACTGATGCAAAAACAAATTGTGCAAAATAGGTCCACAGTTATTTGAAAACACGTTAAAACATGCCCRCTAGCTGAAATTATCTTGCTGATAAAGCCTGTAGACTTAGTCCGTGTTCAGATACAAACACACTCCCTGCAGGACCCAGTGGCAGTGGTGTATGGTAGTACACAGGTCTGCTTCAAAGATCAAACCATCACCCATCGCATTCCTCCGCGCGGATGTGGTGTARACCGGTGTCCTCAATGTATTCTGGAGTACAAAACATAAGAAAATACTTGGCAGTCAGGGAGGAACATTCAAACCATGAAATGTATTCAAGTTGAAAAATCTGCAGTGATTGTTGTCTGTACCTGTAGTCTAAGGCGGCGTGCCTCTACGGGGATGATTTTGAGAATGGGCAGTTCAACAACCGGGACTTTTGGTTTACTCTTCACCAGGCAGCCYTTCTCCAGATCCCAATCTGCTCCCTCCAGATACATGCCAGACACAAAGCAGCCTAAAGCAGAAAGACTGGTCTTTAGAAAARCTCACCAAATGCTGCAAACAATGATATTAATTTCATCACCTTGTTCTGGTCTGTCAGTGACTTCATCCTCACTGCGGTAGTGGCTGACTTCTGTGTAAAGCGTAGAAAGTTCCAGAGGCCAGCCATTTTTCCTGCATGCAGCTTGAACCAGAGCAGTCAAATAGGACTCTGGTATGTGAAGACCTGACAGCCACATAACTTTTGGCTCTTCCTTTTTCACCTTGCAAACAAAAAATACACACGATTCACACACACACACACACACACACACACACACACACACACACACACACAC